TAAGACTCAGATGATAGCTGAAACCTTGACCATAATTTACTGTGACAACTTCATACTAAAAGTATCAAAAAAAGGGAAAAGGCCTGGTTTGAATGAGATATCAGGTGGAAGGATGATCAGCTTAGAGACAGCAGAGGAGGAACAGAAGAAAAGAAAAGAAGAGGTTGCTCTTCCTCTCCTTGGATTCCTTAACCTAAGATTCAATTAACAGCATACAACTCCACAGCAGTACAGGAATGGCACTTTTCAGACCAAGGCTATCCTTAAAAAAGCATGTAAAGATGGTAAATTAAAATACTGGAAGCAATACTAACTTTACCTTTTCCTACTCTCTAGCTTGTTGCCCAATGCAGGAATTACTACAAAGCCTTTACACCTGGAGCCTAGCACACCCAACTCAAGGCAACAGAGCTTTGTATTTAAATGCAGAAGCTTAAAAGCAACGTTGACAATACGCAGACAAAGCCTTCCTTTTCTCTCTAGTGGAAATGAAGGAGCTTAGCTACAGGGTTTTAGCAATCCTTAGGGCTAATGCAGCTCTACCAAAAAGTATACTGAGATTTAGTTAAGTCAGTTCCCTATCCTTAAACACATGGTTATTACAAACCATATACAAGCTTATATACACACATATATAAATGAAGTTATAAATGCACAGTGGACTGATTTGTCATCTCTAAGACAACTGCAGACAGCCCTCACGCTACTTGTTTATCTGAACTGCACACTCTGAACGTAGCAGTTAGAGTGAAACCAATTTGACAGAAGTCTGCCGATTTACAAGCACACACCTACTTCATTGAGACTGGTAAGGTTGTAAATGAAGTCTATTATATCATTTTAGATGATGCACAAGATACGAGTATTGCCTTTTAACTTCGACTATTTTGATTTATTTTACATTGACAGAATGAACTAGTAATTTGTGTGTTTAGACAAGTCAAACTTACTTAAATTCAGATGAGGACTTTGTTTCCTCCCCCTCAGAATCAGCAGAAATGTTTACTAAAGTCTGAAAGCAATCAGAGAGCTTAACTTCATTAATTTGGAATTGCCTCCCCAATGCCACTTCTCCACCCTGTTAACCTGAAGCACTAGGGCTGGGGGAATATCAAACCAACTTTTATCTACCAATCTGAAAAGTTCATAACAGATGTTTGGTCTTCTGTGATTACAAGTGTCTAACAAGTCACTAACACCTATAACCTGTCTAGATCAGTTGTAGTACAGCTAGAATCTTATTTTAGTAAATTATCAGCTTTGTCTGTGCTTTAGCACAACTGTTAAGCAAATTCTTCAAGGTCAGCTTCATGCAAAAAGCTTTAAGTTTTTAACTTAGGCTTATTGGGTGTTCCACAAGGAAAGCTCATCTTTTCCACCCTACAAGGCTAACATAAGACAGTCGCTTCAATCCCACAAAGAATGCCAGAGCAAAAGGAACTTTGTACTGTAACACTGCATTATCTTCAGTCAACTTCCAGTATTTGTGCAAGGTGAAATTCTTCTTCTAGAACAAAGTCCAGATAAAAAGGCACTACAGCTAAACTAACTTCCTCAATCTCATACTAGTCAAGAGGCTATGCATCTACACAGTATGTCTTATGTTGCTTACCAGTCCAATGAAGAGCTCATTTGTCTTGCATACAGCGTTTCAGATCCCATATTGGCCAGTAAAAAAAAAAAAAAAAAAAATCAAAATTTGTTCCAGAATTACATTTATCATAGTTTCCAGAGATGTCCCAGACAAAAGTCCCTATGGGGAATACTGCGGATGCCAGAAGAGCAGTCCAGAACCATACCAAGAAGCCTGACAGGGCAAGGAATCGCTGCTCCCACCTCCTCAGAGGGCTGGAACAGCGCCCAACTCCCACAACATCTGTCACACGACAGGCACAGAGCTGCTAAACTGAAACAGCAAGGTCATGGGAACACAAGAGCAGAGGATTTGGAGACTCTTTGCTGGTGAAACATACCAGAAGAGTAGACCTTTCTTTGTCTAGGAAGGGAGGCCCAAATTGGCAATCTTGCTGCAGCTGTTGAACAGAACAGTGCTCTCTGCAAAGCCCATGCTCCTGTGACTCTGCTAAAGATCACCATTTCCTCCACAACACAAAACATATACTTTTTATCTCAATTGCTGCAGTGCAGTATATCTCATGGTTTAAACTCATATCTGGTTATTCACCAGACAGGCTAAGACACAGGCACACACACATCCTTCTGCCAGTTTAGAGCAAGACAGCTGAAGGCAATAACATCTTGGGCAATCTCCAGTAATCTTTTTGCAGAAGTTAATCAAAGCCTCAAGTCTTTCTGTCCAGAAGGGGATTACAGACTTTGTCACCTTACCACCCAGACAGTAAAACATCTCCGAAGATGCTTCAGGAGCATCACATGCCTGTGGCTTGAAATAAACAAATAATAACTAAAAAATAATCAATCTTAAATTGGAAACCTTCACCCACAAACACTATAACCAGCACCACTCGGCTCTCTGGTCAGCATGGATTGACCTTTTAGCTTCACAGAGCAGGAACTCAAGTCGATCTCCTTCACTCTGCAGCTGCAGCGCAACGTTCCTGATTGTACATGGATGCAGGCATGCGTGTACACAGAGAAGCACCACATGGCCTGGGAACTCCATTCTCTCAAGCATTTTGAAAACTGGATTTATTCCACAAGCTGTCAGAAGAACATAACTAGTTGGTCATAAGAAAGAAAATCCTGAAACAAAACTTTGTTTCCCTGGTTTTGCCCTCAAAAAAAAAAAAAAGTATGCTTATTCAAATGTTTAAAATAGCTGTCATTCTAGTTGAAACCTGTCTAATGTAACTTGTGGGTATGGAGCTAAAAGCATATTTTCTACTGGAACTTTTTCAGCATGATTCAGAACTGTCCATTTGTGCTTTCAAGACATAAATAATCTTCCACCTGCTTCTTAAAAAATTTTGGTTTAGATCATGCTCTTAAAGTTTCTTTCCTTAAATGGGATAATTTAATCATTAAACCTTGTAAGGTTTATTTGGAAAATGCACCATGAAGTCAAACTCATCCACAGTTTAGTTTCCAAGTGAGAGACTAAACTAAAAATAGTTGAGGAATTAGAAGTTTCAATTCGAATTCTTTATCATTCCATTTTACTCACCATGAAGAATTACTGGATTTGTACTAGCAGCAAGACTCATTTCTGGAATCTCTACAAATATTTACAATTAAACTCAGACCACCTGAATTTTATGGATCCCTGACAGGCTAGGAATCCAGGCTCTGCTCAATTCAACGTCATTTTCCCCCAACAGCATCGTCATCTTTCACCTCACTTGCAGCCCGCCTCAAAGGGCTAAGAAGCATGGGAAAAGTACTCCATCACAGGATATCTGCATCAAGGAATGACTGCAAGATCTTTTCAGCCCTGGTTCTATTTGAAACTCCACAGGTAGAATCTAGAAAAAGGTCACCTTCTCTAAAATTCCTAGAATCTTTCTAATTTCAGCATCAGCTTTGTTATTCTCATCAATTCTGCCTCCCTATTAGATTCTGAAAATAAAAACTAGAGACGGCTGGGTCCAGTCAGCAATAAATTAAGTAACAGCAGCATAACTTCTACCACTCATGATGATTTCAAGAAAACTAAGTGTCATTAAAAAAAAAAAATCTAACTTCTTTCCCCATAAGACTACATATTTATTTGATGGCAGCAACAGGGAACTTTAGAATATGTTTCTGCAAGATACCGGACTTCAGCACAGATGAGCTCTTGCAGATCTAGCTTGAGCTACTTGCCACAATTTCTGCCACTGAACCACACTGCTTCAGCAACTAAGCGTTTCTTCTCCACTTCATACTAATCTGCCTGACTTCAGTGGAGCACTCACATGATCCAGCCATGAGAGTGCTAAGTACAGGAATCAAACCATTCCTAAAGTGATTATTTATACCCTCAAGGTCCAACTCAGCAACACAGGGGCTTTTACAGCACTTTTGCCTTAAAGAGCTCCCGTGTCCTCTGTCAGGTTTTTCCCTACTGCTTGGCCTCTTACTTATGCCATACCTTTAACAAATTTCTGACATGCAATGCTGCAAAAGTATTTTTTTAGAGTGAAGCATCACTGGATGCGATCCCTGACCTGGCTTTCAGCACAGCCCCACAAGCAGCTGAAAGGGCAGGTATCTGCCTGCAGCACCAGGACGGGAACGAGAAGCCAAGAACTCTTTGAACTCGTACTGACCATGAAACACCCGTACTCTCAAAACACAGCCTGTAAGGCTGTTCAACAAAAGCAAGCACAAGCATTCCTAAAATAGATGTGTGTAGTCCACGACAGGCAGATTTAAAAAAAAAAAACAGACACAATTAATCAGGAAGGGAAAGGAGGAAAGCAGCCAGACAGCAGCACTGTCAGTGCAATCCTGAAGTGTTCTGCTCACAGTCAACCGTCGGACAGTTTTCCCTTGGAGGGAACTAATAAAACCTCTCATGCTGAACTTCACAGAATTGGCACAGTAGCAGAGGATGATGGGTCTTGTTGGTTACACACACTGACTTGCATCTCTTCAGGATGCAGAATTGCATCAATGCACTGCAGCTGCATCCAGTGAAACCAGTGGTCACACACAGAGGAACACAAGTTACACTTGCACTCACGAGGTCAAGTGCAGTGCCCTGGATTTCAGCAGCACTGTAATAACTCTGGTGTAACAACAGAAAAACAGCTGACCACGAGCACTCAGTGTAAAGACAAGAAAGTAAACATAAGCCTGGAATGCATAACAAGGGAACATTAAGTAAGGAGCAATGCCATTACATGTAACATTCAGAAAACCATTACTACAACATTGCTGTGCCCAGCCCAAATGTCTGCACATCATGCAAAAAGCCAGAAAAAAGCTACAAAGAATAATTTTGAGTCTGAAAAGCATCTGGAAATAAATGGTGGTTTTATCTATTTACACAATCAAATACAAGACTAAGAGGTGGCTTGCATGTGAATTCCACATACCTTCACGTGGAGAATATTTGTCCCCCATAGTCCCAGGACTTTTGGTCACATGCCTGCCCAGGTACCAACACAGGGGACAGCAGCGACCATAAAAATATCAGATACAATAGAAGACCTGTTATCATTCTGAAGAGTCCATGTACAACCCGAATAAGTAACTGCTTCTCATTAAAGACTTAAAGGCAAACTAATGATATCCAAGGACAGCTGATGCTAAAAAGTGACAGGCTTAAAACACATTCTTGGAAGGAGTTCTAGAGACTGATCAGGGAAGGTGAACAGATTAAGTGTTGGCAATGATCCTTTTCTGACCTGAAACAAATCTATAGTTCAGAACCTATTCATTTGCAAGCCATTGATATGACTAACTCTCCAATATAATTTAAAGAGTGATAGTCCAAATGATATCTAGAGAGAGCAGTGAGTTGACTTCCATTTAACATCATCATAACAGCCTTAACAGAAGATTTAAACAGAGAAACAAAAGGGAACAGAGACAGCTGGAACCTCTGCTAGCCACTTACCCAAAGCACGTTTTCTTACTTTGCAAATGTGGCAGCTCTATCAGAAGTGGCGATGAAACTGCCAGGGCATGGGGGGAAGATACAAACAGGTAACAATAATCATATTAGTGATTTTCTGCAAATCCTTCATTCTAACAATTCCCTTTGAAAAATAATTGCTTGTAAAAACAAGAAGTTCTGTTAGTATGTATAAGTTTGTATTTGTTTAGTCAGGACATCAGAAAAATGTCTCCCTTACTACCTACTCAAGCACACAAAAAAAAAAAAAAAGGTGCGTCATAAATCCTAGCTACCTCAAAACGTCAGTTCCATTCCTTACTGCCACCAGGAACCAGCAGTCTCACAAGGGCTTCCGAGATACAAAAGTCACTTTGACTAACACCATAAACTCATTTAGCTCTGAAATCAAAGCTGCGCGCTTGCTTCCTAGCAGTAACTACAGTGCCTGCTTCTGCATTTAAAACCTATCCTTTAGCTGTAAAACCACTCCAGGTTTATTAGCACTGTAGGTTATGTTCACACACAGGACAGAAACAGAAGCGCACTCCAGAGCACACATTTCCTCATCAGCCCTGCACCCAGTCTCCCGCTCTCTGGTTCGTCTCTTGAAGAGCTTCCACTACCACCTGCGCAGAGGCCGAGGTTACCCAAGTTTGGAATTTCACAGAACATTCTTCTCAAGCAAAGAAAGCAACAGCCTTGGAAGTAAACAAAGTGGTCACATCTTGTGCCCCTGGAACTGCACTGAATTCATATTTTGCCTTCAGGGACATTTTTTCAGCACCACAAACTGCTGTTGGATTGCACAGGGTCAGACAACTATCCGGCGATTTGCTTCCAGTGAGTGCTTGCACTCTATGGGCAAGACCACAGAAACGGAGAACGTCATCCTCCATCTCACCAGTACGAGCTGTGCAATGCAGACAGACTATTGCACCATTTTACAAACTACTACAGAAAGTCTGCCATTTTCTAAGACTCACAAGAGGAAAAGTGGGAGAAAAGCTTTCTTTCCCAGATACACAGCAGAACTGGAGAGTCTGACCCAAAACTCCTGCGGGGAAGCAGGCGGCATTACAGCGATAGCTCCCCGCGCCTGGGACTTTTCACAGGATCTATATTTGGGAGCTCCCACAAGTCATTTAGTGCTGCCCTAGTCTTGACAGCCTTACCCTGTTAATGAGGTTAGTGCATATGCAATAAAGAGGAATTCGTGCTCTTTAAACACTGCCCTAGCTTCCTTGCAGCCTAACCATTCAGTTGCCCTGTAGCTTGCAGAAGACAGCTCTTCTGAACACCTTGCTGAAGATTTTGGTATTACTTAAAAGCTTTATCTGCCTTAAATTGAGAAACATTTGATCTCAGTGAACAGTAAGATGTCTTAGAAATCCTGAAAGCAAAAGAAACAAAGCTCATTTTGAGGGCTGTCCTTCAAGATAGCATCTGCACTTCAGCTTGCCCACTTCCAACAGCTACTGAAAGTCACCATGAAGCCACAGAGGTTCTACAGACTATTCTCTCAATAGAAAGCTTCTAGCACTCAGCTTACTGAAACAGCTGGGAAAGTTCTCTGCTCCTGGCATTACACAAATGCTGAGAAACTGATAGTTCTAACAGGGAAAAATCTGCTTGCTGAAATGAACTTTTGATTAACAATACTTTCTGTTTATGAAAGACCACATCTTTTTCCTTTGTCTGACAGATTATGAGCATGCTGGAAATGTTATCAGATGATCAGTTTCTCTCCGTCAAAGTAAGATGAAATTCTTCTGGAAGAAATAATTCTATCAGTATTAACACCACAACATGTGGTGGGAAGAAATAAAGGTCCCTTTCCTGGTCATAACCATATTCTTAAAGCAAAGTCTTTGCCTAAACAGCTGAACTTTTTTTCTAAAATACACTTTATGATCAAACTATAAAACAAAATATGCTGGGGGTTTAATGTGAAAATACATCAAAATCCAAGCACACAAACTGTAAAATGAGAATATCTGCTGGCAAATTTCAGTAGCAGCAAACAAAAATCACTTGTTTTTGTTTCACAGTGCTCAATTTTTCTATTCCCACCCCCTGCCGAGAAATGCAGTCATCAACTTCAGTCTATTTTTCTAATATACAAATGCTCAAACTGTTTCCTCATTTTTCCCATACTTTGTAAACATCTTTACTTCTTAAAGTCACAAATGATGCATCAGAAAGGTTTTACTATAGGATAAATCTGTAATGCAAATAGCGTACCAACATGCTGCACAGCAAAAAGCAATTCTAAGCGATACCAACAAAAGAGGGGATGGCTCAGAAAACTCAAGAGGAAAAACAAGTGAAGGTGATGAGTAATCTCAGCTTGTTTCCAATTCTAAATTTAAGAATACTACAACAATATTTGTTGTGCAGATTATTTCCTCATAGATTGACCTCCCAAAATATATTACACACCTTTTATGAACTACAAAAATCCACGAATTAAAAAAAATTTTCCCCTCCCAGTGCCTACTGTTTGCGACAAACGATTTGACTACTGGCAAATGTTTTGATGTCTCAAAGGCTCCCCCCATTTTCACACCCAAAACCAAGGGTTTGATTCCCTGTTTTACAAGTTTTGCAACAGTTCATTCAACAGACAAAATCCAGCTGTGAAATATCATTGTACGAGAGGAGGGGAGTGCAGCGAGACAGAGCAGACTACAGGAGGATGACAGCTTAAGCAACCAGCATAAAGGAGAAAAGGAGAAGTGCTACAGTCAACATTTAATGGCTTCACTGGCCTCCGTAAAAGGCACCGGCGATCTCTGCCATGCTAGTAAGCAAGTCCCCCCATTAAGAAGAAAACCCCATCAAAATTAACATCTTCTGATTAACTGGAAGTCAAGAGCAGAACTACAACGTGCTGCCAAGAGCTGCTGCGCGCAGAATGCCTTGTGCAGGGCAGATGGCGGGCACGGGTAGAGCCACCCTGCAGCGAGGTGTCCGAGCCCCAGCTCACCCCTGGCCGTGGCTGACGAGGCTCATGGGCTCAGGAGGAGACACACCGCAGGGCTGAGAACGCTCCTCCTCGGAGAAAGGCAGTGTCTCACAAAGAACATAACATCCTGCTGCCTTTGCTTCATTGCTGAACGACAGGGAAAGTAAAAAAAAAACACCAACACCCTAAAGCAAGCCCGATACATGAAATAGTAGGAAAAGGGAAGAAAAGAAATGAAATCTTTTGCACAACAAACAAGTTGTACTGCTGCTCTGTTAAACCAGCTCTTCCCTCCACAGAGCTACAGCAGGGCGTCTGAATTCACATTGATACATACCGGCACCCAAAGATCACAACACGAGAGGAGGTTAAGAGGATGCTGCCCACTGGACTTCACAATTCCAGGGTGCTGCCTATCCTAGTGATACAGCCTATTTTGAAGAATACCACTCTTCACTTATTTGCGTAATTCAAAGAGATAACAGACTCATCATTCATCATCTCTCAAAGCAAAGCACTCGTGGAAGGTTCATTATTCAGGAAGAATTTCTACTCAGTAAGTAGCCTGAATATAAAACCTACATACTGAGGATTTGCATCTCTACTGAATAGTGATCTTTGTTGCAACACGACAACTGTACAGAGTACTGGCATTTTCAGATCTGCTTATAAAAATGGAAGCTCTTGGGTTTGGTCTTTTTACATAAATGCATGACCTCAATTTAAAATCATGCCATATCACAGCTCTGAGAACCACTAACAAGGTATGAAAGAAATTTAAATAAATGACAGAAAACAACCTTGGCCAATTCTGGATGGGAACAAGGGAGAAGGAAAAATTTCATAGAAGTGCTCCTTTTCTCAGGAAATGGGGAAAACACTCACACAGTTAAAGCAGGTAACATTTGGACATCAAGTCATTTTGTTCAGACTTCACACTAACAAAAAAGATGTGATGAAGTTAGCACGCTTATTTTATCCATCAACATTAAAATGAGAATTTGTTCACAGCCTAGGGTAACGTTAAAGCTGAAGAAAGCCAACTGAAACTGCTTATTGTCTAATACAAAACCTACAAGGCCTCACATAGTGAAATGTACACAGTGAGAAACTTTAAACCTAAAAATGGGAAGTCGTTTCCTTGTTTAGTCTCAATTCAGGCAGGAAAAGAAACAGGTGTTTTCCCAGCCAAGAATGCTAAGCTACAAAATGCCTCTCAAGTCCATATTATTTTTTATATATATACACACACAAAAAAAACCACTAATCAAAATTACGCATACAATCAATCACTAGTACTACAAAGTACTACTGTGAAAAGCATTATTTTCAAACAGCCACAAAATAATTCATCCTTGGATAAGTTATCCTTTGAAATAATGTTGCAGTCTACAATAATTTATTTAATTACCAGTCACAATCCCCAAGTTATAATGCTATGCTTTTTTAACTGTATATTTGATACTGGTATGTATGTTCATATGAGTCCAGATTCTTCAAAGGAAAGGACCTACACTCTGCACATACTTGTGTAGTTAT